CCGCGCTCACCTCCCATCTTCTTTCCATCCATAATAACTACACCTCCTGCACTTCACCATTACTACAAAATGGAGATACAAATACACGATTCTTACATAGATAAACATATAACTTTATTGGGATTTAGGAAATGAAATATATCTATACACTTATATAATAGCAAGGAGTTAATAGTTGCTGCAGTAACACGGCTCATTCTTTTCTTTCGACTTTTGTCCCCATTTTGTGTGTTGTTTATGTTGTACATAAATGGACTATTTTGTACATTCATAGGCCAGCTCTGATGTAACCTCTGTGGGCTACTTCCTGGAAGCTTCATTTTCATCTGAAAGTTCTCTCTTCACTCTCTCATTTCTCAAGCATAATCGATCTTTCTTGAACAAACAACCATCTTGTCAACCTTCGGCTCAAGATTAGAAGCTAAATCTATCTCATCCCTTTTCATACAACAAATCAAAACTGCGATGGACACATATCCAAGCTGCGAATTGGTGCAAACAGAATGTAAAAAAAAAAAAAAATATGCAGCGTTATGACTATGCATGTGTAATTTTTTTCAATCCTAATAAGTTTTTATCCAAAAAATTGTTAGCAGTTTTTTCAGTTTATTTTAATTGTAGGAGATTTACTTTTTGGGATTCTTTCTTTGCAAGATTGTGCAAATTGACAATTGGTTACATAAATTGACGATCGATGTTTTGTTTATTTATTTTAATCTCTAGAGGTTTATTGCTTGTCTGTTTCTATTTCTGTGTGAGGGATTTTAAGCTCACAACCACATCTCCTTTCAACCATATAGTGACTATGGTACAAGGTAAGGTTTTGCTTGATATGATCTACTTTGTCTTTGTTGATTTATTTTATTCTTAAAGGAAAAGATGTAGGTAATCATATTACCTGAAGCATAAACGGTTTGTATCGGATGCTTGAATTACGAGTCTCATCTGGAAAGCCCTCCGTTAATTGAGAAGCTACCAAAGTTTCTCAATGTTGCTTCCAAGCTCGAAATCCCTAGGTTCTACAATGGTGAGCTAGGAGGGTAGAATAGAGAGAGAAATATTTTCTACAGAGATTTTTCGAGTAAAACTCCAACAACAATAATACGTGTTATTATTTTCTCTATATCAGATATATAGAGAATCTCTATTGATAGAGGTAGAGTTATAGTCTCCCACAAAACTCAAACACCTCCCAAAAGATAATCCCTTTAATTATCTTATTTATTTAATAAGTATGACCCACGTGGATGCTGCATTAGTAATGGGTCGGGTCAAATCCAACCCAATTTCCAACATCTCCTACTCGTCCACATCATTTTTTTATATTCACAACCGTCATTTCTCAATCTGTCATTCTGTTTAGTTCACTCCTCATACAAAAAAATAGAGCGTACGACCTAACGAGAAGGTATAAAGGTAGGAGTGCTATATTAAACCACCATAAACTAACATAGCACATCACTCGAAATGTCTCATCTATATCCTAGATTCATTTGATCATACCAAATTGAACATTTTAAAACCCCTCGCAAGTCATAGCTTATAAACATGCTTGACATCAACACTATATCTGTACTCATGATTATATTGTGATCTCAAGTCTAACATAATCCCCCGGACATTGAGCTACAATACAAGGGTACAATTTCCAACAATCTTCCCTGGCCACTTATGTCAATTCACTCAAACTTGACCGTTTTCCGATACATAGTCCTTTGGATTCATCACGACCCTTGGATGACATGTTAAAGTAGTGACATCGAGTCACTACTTCATGACATACTTTTAGGTTCATGGCATAATGTAGGTCTATTATTGTTCTAGCAGGGCTCACATAGTACGAGAGCAGGTGTGATAACCATGTCCCGTGTTATGTTAATTAATCTTAATTATGATTGTAATTATGTGCTTAATATGATTTTCAGTGCCATTTATATGACTATGTGTTTTTGAATTTCTATCTGTTTACTGTAGGAAAATATATTTGATTCTTTGCTATAAAAATTTAATTGAAGGTCGTAGAGGCGTTAGAAAGCAAAATTGACTGTGTTTTTACGATTAGCATGATTTTTACAACCTATGGTGAAATTTAATTGAAAACTGATTCGGAGCGAATTAATTAGTTTGAATTGAATTAATTAAGCACCATTGATTAATTCTAATTAAGTGTGATTAGGGAAAGCCTATATAAATGAGGTAAGTATGCTTAAGCTCATATTTTTTAGCTCAAATCAGATTCTACACTCTAGAGAGAGAAAGGAGCCATTCTTGAAGATTTTGCAAGAGAACTCAAGTTTTGGAAGGCTAGGCTCTAGAACTAGCTAAAACTATGAAGGTTAAAGCTCCTAGGTGAGTAATTGGGCATAAATTCGTGAGTTTGAGTTGGTAATTTTGTGAAATCAAAGTTAAATGGTAATCAAGAACAAGAATTAAGTTGAATTTGATGAATTTGAAGTCATTATAAACATGCATGTAAAAGATTGCCATGAATTGTGTATTTGAGCATGAAACATATAATCCATGTTGAATTTTGATTAAGATTCATGCTTTTGATCATCTTTTGTATCACTTAAGTTGAGAATGGAAGTTATATTCCGCATGCAAGCACAATTCATGGAGGTATAAGTTATGGTTGCATGGATTTGAAGTATTGGAAATAAGTTTGGTACAAATTGGGTATGCATGTAATTAATTCATGGGAATTAAGCTTCATAATGTTTTAAATTTAGTATTTGTATCATGTTAGAAGATGTAAAAGTGAATTATGAGTCATAACAAGCAAGTTACGTCAATTGGAATGCAAATTTGAAGCTCAAACAGAGTACTGGAAAAATCCAGAATTCAACTTGTCCGCTCGAGCGACGCTTTTTGAAGCTTAATCAGAGCACTAGAAAAACCCAGAAATTTGACTTGTCCGCTCGAACAAGAAAAGTGTCGCTCGAGCGTGAAAATGTAGCTCCTAGAAGTTTTGCAGAGATTATATGGTGGCTCGAGCGGCCGAATCTACTCTCGAGCGTACCCTCGCACTGCATGACTCCTCGCTCTAGCATCAAAAGTATTGCTCGAGCGTAAGTCTTAAGCAACCAGAACTTTTGCAGACCAAAGGGGTCCGCTCGAGCGACCAATCCTGCGCTCGAGCGAAGAGCCCTGTTTCAGAAATTTTGAAAAGTTGTTGTATGCTCTTTTTCCGCTCTCTCCCATTTCTACGCATTCTTAGGCATGCATTGAACATTGTAAATGAGTTAAAGGGATAAGAAAGAGGCCTAAGAGAAATAAATAATTTGAGAACGGATTGAATTGCTTATTACCCGATATGTTGCAAATTATGTAGGGCCAAGTGCAAGAGCGAATCCATCAGCAGAACACTGTTAGTAATATCTTGATAAGAATGTATTGAAGTATACTACTTTCCAAATGCCCACTTATGTGTGAGTTCTACGGAGTTGTTAAATTAAATTAGATATTTGTAATGCAAATGATTGAATTAAGCTGTTGGAATAAGATTGTGATTATGATGTGCTTGCGATCTCAAGTATGAAATGCACATAACATGAATAACTGGGCCAAAGGCCATTGGATGAGAATGTTGGGTCGAAGGCCGTTTGATATGAATGATTGGGCCAAAGGCCGTTTGACGTTGGGCCAAAGCTTGTTTCATATGAATGATTGGGCCAAAGGCCGTTTGATGTGAATGATTAGGTCAAAGGCCGTTTGACATGAATGATTAGGCCGAAGGCCGTAGGACATAAATGAGACATGAATAATTGGGCCAAAGGCAATTGGACATAAATGAGAAATGAATAATTGGGCCAAAGGCCGTTGGATATAAATAATTGGGCCAAAGGCCGTTTGACATGAATAATTGGGCAAAGGCCATTGGACATAAATGATTGGGCCAAAGGCCATTTGACATGAATGATTGGGCCAAAGGCCGTTGCAAAAAAATGAATAGGCCGAAGGCCGTTTGACATGGATAAATTGGGCCCGAGGCCATTTGATAAGAAAGAATTGAGCGTGAGGCCGTTTGATGTATTAGATAGAAATATGAATGGGCCTAAGGTTGTTTGATATGCTTGTTAACAAATTTTCATTCATGTAACTTCCTTAATAGATATCATTCATTGGGCTGTCGCTCATTCTCATTCATGTGTATGTAGGTGAACAAAGAAACGTCCAAACCCAGCCTCGGTGAAGACTATGAGAGGAAGTAAAGTTTTTGAGGAGTCAGCCCGAATGTCTCACACATGAGACTTTGTTTTTGTCCCTTTTGTTCTTTTGTTACTCTTTTGCTACTTTGGTGAAAATGTTGGGTCACCTATGTATATGAGTTTTTGTTTGGCTGGTTGCATCTAAAGGTATATATATAAGATGTGAACTCTATTTATATGTGTGAGTTATTATGAAATACCTTTGGAATGATTTTACTATACCATGTAAGCACGGCTCATTGGACAGAGTTTTTAAATCTGTTTCCGTTTTGGCCCCTTAAATATTTTTGAAATTGTTTGAGGCTATAGATAATCTCATGCTTATTGGCCAGTTATAACCCCAATCCTTAGGGGCAGGATCGGGTCATGACAGAGTGATATCAGAGCATGAGTTAATAACTCACACACTTGTCCTAATGAGCAATAAGCATCTAGAAAAGATCTAGGATGCATTCATGTGATAAGTATGAACTTGAAGACATCGAAAGTATGCTTAAATGTTTGGAAACGAGTGACTATGTGCTAAATGTTTTGTGACACTTGCATTGTGAATTATTTGAATATGTATGCTATTTTGTATGTGCGTACTTATGAATATTTTTGTATAAAGAATGATACAAGTTTAATCAGATAATGGTGAGAGCAAGAGGTGATGAATTAGAGGAGTCCTCTACTGCCAGAATGGACAGGATGGAAAGATTGATTCAGGAAATAACAAACACATTGAGACAACAACAGTGGCAACAACAATGGCAATAGCCACACCCTCCACCTCTACCTCCGGAACCGCCTATGCAAGACCTACAGAATGATGACCAGACGATAGCTCTCACCAAAGAGTTCAAGAAAATGAAACCGCCACAATTTCATGAAGGATTGGATCCGTTGAAGGCAGAGGCATGGGTCCTCGGGATAGAAAAATTGTTTGAGGTGTTTCCTTGTCAAGAAACACAGAAAGTATTGCCAGTCACCTTTACATTAGAAAATGAAGCAAGAAGGTGGTGGATGTTGATACGTGAAAACAATAAAGATATTGGCTGGGCACGATTCTTAGAAATTTTCTACGACAAGTACTTTCCACAATGTGTTCGCGATAGGAAAGTGTTGGAGTTCATGGAACTTAAGAAAAATAGCATGATAGTAGCTGAGTATGAGGCCAAGTTCACTGAATTGGCCAGATTTGCACCACACATGGTCGACACCGACTATAAGAAAGCAAGGCACTTTCAAGGAGGCCTTCGAAATGATATTCTAGACAAGGTGGATGCGCTAAAATTGGAAACCTATATTGATGTGTTAGACCGGGCCATAATATCATAAGCTAATATAGCCAGACAGAACAAATCACTAACTGATTAGAAAAGTAAGAGGTAGGGCTTCTTTTCAAAGAAAAGACTTTCAAAGAGGCAGAATACGGGTTCCTCAAGTACTTCAAATTCTTCCCGAGATACATCCCCAATATGTAGCCAATGTGATAAAAGACACTGTGGGGTTTGTAACCGTCTTTTGGGGGCCTATTCTAAGTATGGAAAAGTGGGGCATATGGCAAGGGATTGTAACCAAGTCAGTGGAAAAGTGGCTGTTAGTTCAACTGAATCGGTCCCAAAACCAGGAAATGCCACGAAGCCTGCTACGACGAGAGACACCATGAGATAGGGAAGAGTCTTTACACTTGTTCCGGGCGATACATGAAACGCAAGTCATTTCAGGTACTATCTCTATATGTAATCAGGATACATTTGTGTTAATTGACTCTGGATCAATGCACTCCTTTGTAACATATGCATTTGCATCTAGATTGAGTAGACCTCTACAGTCATTGCCATATTTGTTATGTGTATCTGCTCCATCCAAGGAATTTGTGTTGTGTACATCTGTATGTCAATTTTGTGATATGTATGTCGGGAATGCTACCTTGTATATGGATCTATTACCCCTGGACTTTAGACATTTTGATATAATTCTGGGCATGGACTGGATATCTAAATACTATACCACCATCGATTGTGTAACGAAACAAGTTGTATTTAGACCACTAGGATAGGAAGAAATTGTTTTGTGGGTAATGGGGTAGTGCCTCCACCTTATTTGATATCCGCAATGAAAGCATGTAAATTAATAAGGAAAGGGTGTCAAGGTTATTTATGTTGTGTATTGTAGGAACAATCTGTGAATGTTGAATTGGACAATATCCCTATTGTAAGTGAATTTCCAAATGTATTCCCAGATGAATTGCCAGGAGAATTGGTTAACAGAGAGATAGAGTTTACTATTGATATTGTGTCAGGCACATAGCCTATCTCAAAAACCCTTTATAGAATGGCCACTGTTGAGATGAAAGAATTGAAAGAACAATTGCAAGACCTACTGGACGAAGGGTTTATTCGACCGAGCACTTTGTCATGGGGTGCACCGATGTTATTTGTGAAGAAGAAGGATGGAACCTTACGCCTGTGTATTGACTATCGAGAACTAAACAAGGTGAAAATAAAGAATAAATATCCCTTACCTTGTACTGATGACTCGTTTGACCAGTTGTAGGGATCACAAGTGTTTTCCAAAATTGATTTGGGGTCCAGGTACCACCAGTTGACGGTAAAAGTAGAGGATGTTGAGAAAACTGCATTTCGGACAAACTATGGCCATTACGAATTTCTTGTTATGCCATTTGGGGTGACTAATGCTCCTGCAACATTTATGGACCTAATGAATCAAATTTTTAAGACTTACCTCGATGAATTTGCTGTAGTTTTTATTGATGATATCTTGTTATATTCAAAGAATAGGCTTGAACATGAACATCATCTAAGAACTGTCTTGCAAACACTCCAAAACAAGAAATTATTTGCTATACAAAAGAAATGTGAATTTTGGCTGGATGAAGTTATTTTCTTAGGGCATGTTGTCAACAGGGAAGGGATTTCAGTAGGCCTACAAAAGATAGAAGCAATTGTAAGTTGGCATACGCTGACAAATGTAACAGAAGTTCGCAGTTTCATGGGCTTAGTTGGGTACTACAGAAGGTTTGTGAAAGATTTTTCAAAAATAGCCGTACCACTCACCCAATTGACACATAAAGGACAACCGTTTGAGTGGAACAATGAAAAAGAATCTGCCTTCTAAGAACTTAAAACAAGATTGACTTCTACACCGGTGTTAACACTGCCCTCAGGTATGGAAAACTTTGAGATATTTAGTGATTATAAAGGTTTAGGTTGTGTATTAATGCAGAATGGAAGAGTAATTGCTTATGCCTCCTGACAATTAAAACCACATGAGAAGAACTACCCAACACATGATCTGGAATTGGCCGCAGTTGTGTTTGCTTTGAAAATCTGGCAGCATTACTTGTATGGGGCAAAATGCGAAGTCTACACAGATCACAAAAGTTTGAAGTACTTCTTTACTCAGAAAGAATTGAATATGCGGAAAAGAAGATAGCTTGAACTGATAAAAGATCATGACCTTCAGATTCAGTACCACCCAGGAAAAGCTAATAGAGTTGCCGATGCACTGAGCAGAAAATCAATGGGGAACCTAGCTTGCCTACTCACGGAACAGGAAAAAAAAATCTTACGTGATTTTGAGAAAGTTGAAATCGAAGTTGTATTACAAGAACAAGCTGGATTAATGGCAGCCATTTCCGTCGAGCCAGCAATAATTGCCAAAACCAAACAAAGGCAACAAGAAGATGAGACCCTTAAAACAATAAGTGATGAGTTTGAAATGAAACCGAAATCAGAATTCAGCATTGATGGTGAAGTGTTAAGATTTCGAAATTGAATGTGTGTCCCAAACAGTTCTGAATTAAAAAAGATAATCCTAGATGAAGCTCGCAAGTTAATGTTTGCTATGTATCCGGGTAACAACAAAATGTATCAGGACTTGAAGCAAAGCTATTGGTGGCCCAAAATGAAGAAGGAAATCATAGAGTATGTGTCTAAGTGCCTTCAATGTCAGCAAGTTAAAGCTGAACATCAGAAACCAGGTAGTCTACTTCAACCTCTCCCTATCCCAGAATGGAAGTGGGAACATGTGACCATGGATTTTGTTGTTAGCCTACCTCGAACTTCTAAAGGTATGGATTCTATCTAGGTCAGAGTTGACAGACTGACTAATTCTGCACATTTTCTTCCTGTGAAGACTACTTTTGATGCTTATAGATTGGCCACTATATAGGTTGATGAAATTGTTTGTTTACATGGGATTCTGGTATCCATTGTCTCGGATAGAGATCCGAAATTTGTATCCAGACTGTGGAAAATTTTGCAAAGAGCTATGGGAACAGAATTGAGGTTTAGTACCACATTCCACCCACAGACAGACGATCAATCAGAATGGACCATACAGACTTTAGAAGACATGCTCAGAATGTGTGCCTTGCATTTCCAAGGGAGTTGGGAGGATTATTTGTCACTAGCAGAATTTGCATACAACAACAGCTTCCACTCCAGCATTGGCATGGCACCATAGGAAGCCTTGTATGGCAGGAAGTGTAGATCGCCAATTTGTTGGACTGAAGTCGGAGATAGGGCCTTACTTGGGCCTGAAATTGTGCAAGACACTTCCGAGAAGATTAAAATCATCCAACAAAGACTCAAAATAGCACAAAGCCGGCAGAAGAATTATGCGGATGTTTGAAGAAGACCTTTTGAGTATGAGGATGGCGACCATGTGTTTTTTCATGTGGTTTCGATGAAAGGTCAGATGAGATTTGGCAAGAAAGGTAAATTGTCACCCCGTTACATTGGACCGTTTCAAATTCTAGAAAGACTTGGTCCAGTTTCTTACAGAGTTGTTTTGCTACCTGGATTTGAACAAATACATAATGTGTTCCATGTATCAATGTTGAGGGGTTATCTTCGAGATCCGTTTCATATGATTGATTACCACCGGATAGCTCTAGATGAGAATATGGAATACGAAGAATGGCCATAATGGATCAATGACCGGCAAGTGAAATAGTTGAGGAGCAAGTCCATCCTGATGGTGAAAGTAGAATGGAAGGAACACTATGGGAAGGACGCCACGTGGGAAAAAGAGGATGAAATGCGACATCACTACCCACATTTGTTTCCAGGTGGAGGTAAAATAAGTTTGGAGGACCAAACTTCCTAAAGGGAGGAAGATTTGATAACTCGTCCTATGTTATGTTAATTAATCTTAATTATGATTGTAATTATGTCCTTAATATGATTTTGAGTGCCATTTATATGACTATATGTGTTTTTGAATTTCTACCTGTTCACCGTAGGAAAATTTGTTTGATTCTTTGCTATAAAAATTTAATTGAAGGCCGTAGAGGCATCAGAAAGCAGAATTGATTGTGTTTTTACAATTAGCTTGATTTTTAGAACCTATGGTGAAATTTAATTGAAAACTGATTCGGAGCAAATTAATTAGTTTCAATTGAATTAATTAAGCACCATTGATTAGTTCTAATTAAGTGTGATTAGGGAAAGCCTATATAAATGAGCTAAGTATGCTTAAGCTCATACTTTTGAGCTCAAATCAGATTCTACACTCTAGAGAGAGAAAGGAGCCATTCTTGAAGATTTTGCAAGAGAACTCAAGTTTTGGAAGGCTAGGCTCTAGAACTAGCTAAAGTTGTGAAGGTTGAAGCTCCTAGGTAAGTAATTGAGCATAAATTTGTGAGTTTGAGTTTGTAATTTTGTGAATTCAAAGTTAAATGGTAATCAAGAACAAGAATTAAGTTGAATTTGATGAATTTGAAGTCATTATAAACATGCATGTAAAAGATTGCCATGAATTGTGTATTTGAGCATGAAACATATGATCCATGTTGAATTTTGATTAAGATTCATGCTTTTGATCATCTTTTGCATCACTTGAGTTGAGAATAGAAGTTATATTCCATATGCAAGCACAATTCATGGAGGTATAAGTTTTGGTTGCATGAATTTGAAGTATTGAAAATAAATTTGGTATAAATTGGGTATGCATGTAATTAATTCATGGGAATTGAGCTTCATAATGTTTTAAATTTAGTATTTGTATCATGTTAGAATATGTACAAGTGAATTATGAGTCATAACAAGCAAGTTACGTCAATTGGAATGCAAATTTGAAGCTCAAACAGAGTGCTGGAAAAACCCAGAATTCGACTTGTTCGATCGAGCGAGAAAAGCGTCGCTCGAGTGTGAAAATGTATCCCCCAGAAGTTTTGAAGAGATTACACGGTGGCTCAAGCGGCCAAATCTACGCTCGAGCATACCCTCACTCTGCATGACTCCTCGCTCGAGCATCAAAAGTCTCGCTGGAGCATAAATTGCAAGCAACCAAAACTTTTGCAAACCAAA